TGATATTTTTTAAATATATATCTTTATTATTTTATAAAATAAAAGATATATTAAAATAAATATTTGAATAATATTTATATAATTATTAATAATATTTATTTTATTATATTCATATATATATTATAGAGTACTTTTTATATGTAAAAATGAATTAAATTTAAATTGTAATATAAAAAAACAAAATCATAATAAATAAAAATAAGATAAATGAAAATTAATAAAATAAAAATTATTTAAATATAAAGTTGTTTTTAAAGAAAATATTAATTAAAATATTTTATATATATTAAAAATAAAAATAATATCTAATAAAATTAAATAATAAAAAAAATATTAATATATATCATATATCTTAAAATTGTTTATATAAAAAAGTATTATTAAGAATTTGTATAAATATAATATATATATAAATATAAATATAAATATAAATATAAATATAAATTCAAACTTCTATTATGTATTTTCTTTAATATGAGAAATAAAATTTTTATTATATCTTATTTATTAAATTCTTTTTATTACATAATCATTCTAAAATTTATTTATTTTTTACTAATTTTTTTTTTTAGCTAAATACATATATTTTTAAATATATTTCTGTTTCAAATAATTTTTTTTGATTTATATATATAATTTAGTATTTTTATAGAGTTTTTTTATTTTTTTATTTTATTTTATACATGTATCTTTTTAAATAAATGATAATAGTTATCATAAAAACATTTAAGAATGTATTATGTATTTAAATAGTGTCAAAAAACATATTAATATAACCTTTATTAAACAAAAAAAATTGACTTAAAATCATTATGATAAATAAATTTATTAATCGTGAAGTAAAAAATTTAATAATTTGAAACTAATAATAATTTAAATAGTCATATTAAAGATTAAAAAATTTAATCATATTTAAAACAAATATAAAAAAATTATAAGTTATATGATATTAATTATGATATTGTTTATTTAATAAATAATTCATAAAATTTTTCAAAAAATTAAATTACATAATAAATATTTTAATTTATTAAAATTAAATCTTATCATAATAATATAATAATATGTAATATAGTATACATTAATTAATATAAATTATTATAATTAATATGGAATAAAAAAAAAAAAAATATTATTTAATATTATAATTTAATAAAAGAATTTAATTAATATTATTTTTGATACGAATTAAATAATTATAATTATGGTTGTGTGTGTATTTTTGTTTTATTTTCGGGTATTACCAAATAATAATAATAATTTTTATTAAATAAATTATTCTAATCTATAGCTATCTATGATAAAAAATCAAAATAATTATTAAAATATAATTGATGATATAAACTAAAACCTTATATGCTTTTAAAAATGATAATATTTAATTATTTATTAATTATTTGATGCAAAAATATTTTATTTTTTTTAACTCTAGGATTTTTTCGTACACTTATTATTTTATGTTTTATAATATTTAACTAGTTATTTAAATAAAGAAATTAGAATTATAAAAAATCATTTAAATAAACTTTAAACTTAAATTGAAGATATTTTCTATGTATGGAGCAAAAATTACAAAAAATTTTCTAATAAAAAAATATATGTAGTTAAAGTCATGGATTTAATATACTGACCTAAACTTGCATGAAATTTTCTAAATAATTAATATTAATATTTTATGTTCTTTTTACTTTTCAGATTAATAATATATTTATTGTTTATGGAAAATCGTAAACATATATTTATTATAAATTTTTCATTAAATAATTTACAAGTATATAAGAAAAGAATAAAATATTTTTAAAAACTTAATTCCTTATATATATATATATATATATTGAAAGAACCTTATTATATTACATTTTGTATTGTTTTCATTCTTGATAAATTTTAATTCATCAAAGCTTTAAATCATTTAAGTTTAAAAATCATAAATTTTTATTATAAGATAAGATTAAATGTATTTAATTTATATTAAATTTGAAATATTTCGTTTGCTGTGAAAATACTTAGTTTGTGCTATTTCAATAATTTTTTATTATAAAATCAATTTGTATTAATTTTAATCAATGAATCATATATATATTTTATTATGATTTTTGTTGTATTTATTGAAGTTTAAAACATTTAATCTACTTTACTTCTTCTTTATAAAATAATTAGTTTGATTTTTTGTAATGATATTATTATGTTTTTTTACTAATTTTATTAAATAATCTTGTATATTTTATTTTATGATCAATTTAAAAATTAAAATGTGATATTTTCGTTATTAAAAAATATAAAATATTTGTTATTTTTATTCAATAAAAGTATATAAATTATTTCCAACTATAATGCACTTACTTATTTTTAAGATCCTTTTCATAATCCATTTCATAAAAGTAACTAATTTAATAATTCCTAAATAAAAAATATCATTTGTAAAAGTATTAATTATAAACGCTGTTAAAAAATAAAATAAGCCTTCATGTTTCCTCTTTTATAATTTAATTAAATAAGTAAAATATCCCAAAAATTATTATAATTATTATATTTGATCTTCTTTTAATCCCATCAAATTCTCAAAATATATAATCACAATTTCCTTAAGGATTTATACGAGAAACAAAAGCACACTTTAGAAAATGCATTCCGCTTGCTAATTCCCATATATTACTAATGACATCATAAATTTAGCATTCTACAGTCTTATTACATTATAACCTCTCTATTTCTAATATTTTATTATTAAAATAGTTTTGGAACACATTGTCCTTATAGATTTTAATTTTTGTTACCTTAAGTCTTATGGATTGACATTTAATTTTTCTCATCAACATATTAATATATCTCCTTTCCATAGAGATGAAAAAAAAACTCTAACAAATAAAATAATAGTTTAATGTAAATTATTTATTTTATCTAGATAATTTTATTGCCAATTTTTTTTACTTTAGATAATATTTTAAAAACAGTATTTTTCTCATTTAAGAAAATAATAATAATCTATTTACTTTAACTTGAAAAAATAAATATGTCTTTAAATAAATAATTATTAATTTTTTTATATTATTACAGTATATACGATATTATTGTATATTAGAATATTATAAGAATTTAAGGAATAATTATTTTTCTAGTAAATTTTTGCTATTTTGATTATTATTATTTTACAAATATTCTTAAATTATATTTCTATTTAATTTACAATTAATTCTTAAAATTTAATAAATTCATTTACTTTTAAAATTAATATCGTTAGAGTTATAAATAAATAAAATACTATTTTTAATGATTCGCATTATATAAATAAATATTTTTGTAATTGATTTTCTTTTTGTTAAAAAATGTCTTTTGTTTTTTAATTTAAGCATTTTTTATGTAATTATAAAAGTTATTATTTTTTAATTGTATTTAATTTAATATTTCAGATATAATTAAAAAAATTACTTAATTTTATGTTTACTTTACCTAACTTTTCTCCTTAATAAATATATTGAATATTATTATTTTACAAAATTATGACCTGAATGAGATAAAATGCATTAGATACACATCAAAAATTCTCGTGTAATCAGAGCATATTAAACAGTTCTTTAAATTATTTATTTATTTAAAACACTATTCATAATATGGATGAGAAGAAGGATTTTTTTTTGGAATTTTAATCTTTAGATCTTAAAGTTGTGTGCATGAAGGGGGGGCATTTGATTTTTTAAAATTTTTAATTTACTTTATATAATATTTTAATTTTCTTACGAAATAAGAATATACTATTATGAAATTAAAGGTTAATATTTTTTATAATTTATTATTTTAAATATATTAAAAAATTGTTTTTAATCATTAATAGTTTTAAATTATTATTTATATTTTAAATTAGAATTAATAAAAAATTTAATTTTAAAACGTCGAGTATATAAATATTTCATCTTTACTTTTTTCAAACAAAGTTAATGCATTTATTTCAATAATATTATAGAAAATTTAATTCTATTTATCGCAATTTGTATATTAATTCTTAAAATATTTAAAAAATCCTTTTAAAAATATTTTATTAAGTTAAATATTATATCATTGATTATTTATATAAAAAAATATTTTCATAAATTTTGAATTTTATTTTTAATTTATTAAACATAAAATAAAATAAATAAATAACAAGTATTATTTTATTCATCACAACAAATAGAAAGAAATAAATATTAAGGACATTGATAAAAATTTTGCGAAAGTGGAACTGGCGCATTATGCTTTTTAAGTAGCTTCAGCATATAATTTAGCTGTAGCACCAGAAGTTAATTTTTTAGAACATTCAGTACATGTATCAGTACCTGCTGCAAAACCAGATGTTTTTGATGCATAAAAGTTAGCCTAACATTTAGTACATTCACTTGCTAAAGCTACAAAATTAGTTGATGTACCATCATCAACCACTGTACCAGCAGGGCAATCGTTTTAACATTATGTGGCTGAAGTAGCACTATTACCTGGAACAGATGCTGAACCAGTTTTACTTACTGCACACTTATTGCATTAACTTTTACCTGCTTCGAAATTACTATTTTAGTAAAAGCCAGCTTTACAATTAACACATTATGAGAGTGATACAGTATAAGTAGGTGTTACTCCGTCTGTAACAAGAGTGCCAGCAGGACATTCAGTGCCACATTATGCGGCTAAATTAGCCTCAAGACCTGATCTGGATTAAGAATTGGTCTTTTTTGATTCGCAAGCTACGCATTTACTATTAGGGCCAGGAACCATAGGAATTTAAGCAACAGTAGCAGCATCAGGATTTACAATCAATTAACCTGGAGTGAATTATCCATTACCAGGATTCTGAGCTGAAGGATTGCCACCATTAAAGTAAAAGTCAACTTTACAAAAAGTACATTATGAGATTGATTAAGTATAAATAAATATTGCTCCGTCTTGAATAGCAGTGCCAGTAGGACATTCATTGTTACATTATGTGGCTAAATTAGCCTAAGCACCTGGTCTTAATTGAGAATCAGACTTGTTTACTTAGCAAGCTACGCATTAACCATTAGGGCCAGAAACATTAGGAACTTCAGGATTATTATCAGGATTTACAATCAATTAAGTTGGATCGAATTATCCAGCACCAGGAGCCTGACCTGTAGGATTACCACCATTAAAGTAAAAGTTAGCTTTACAATTAACACATTATGAGAGGGATTAAGTAAAAGTAGGTTATCCATCTTCAACTGCAGTGCCAGCAGGACATAAGTTGCTACATTATGCGGCTAAATTAGCATCACCACCTTATCTGTGTTGAGAATCGGCTTTGTGTACTTGGCAAGCTATGCACTGACTAACACCTGGATTGAATTGTGCAGCACCAGGAGCCTGACCTGCAGGATTACCACCATTAAAGTAAAAGTGTTTTTAGCAATGAGTACAAGTATTTATATCTGCAGCTCCTGTATCAGATTATCCATTCGCAATTGCAGCACCATTAGGACAATTAACAGCTCTTAATTCATTAATAAATAAGGAAATAATCAAAATTATTAAAATATTAAATTTCATTTTTTTATTATTATTTATATTTAATATTATTATTGTTTTAAAAAATTATTATAAATTTTACTTAATTTATTTCCTTTGTAAATGCAAAAAAGTAATAGATATTTTTTTTTTAAATAACTAAAAAATAAAATTTGAAATTAATTTTAATTAGATATTTTTATAATATTACTTGTTATTTTTAATAAAATGTTATAAAGATTATATAATATATTATTTTTTATGTTTTTTAAATTTTATAAAAAATAAAAATATTATATTATACTATCGATTCATTTTTTTTTTTGAATATTAATTATTATAAACAAAACTTTATTATCTTGAAATAAAAAAAAATATATTTTAAGTTAAATTTTTTAATTTGTACTTTTTATATTTAATATATTTTTAAAAAAATAAAAAAATAATTAATTACACGTGAAAAATAATTTATTAAATAAAAACAATTATTTTTGCCTCAAAAATTTTTTAATTATAATAAAAAAATATAGGAATAAAATCAAATAAAAATATATATATATTTTTTTTAATACGTAAATAATTTATTTACTTATAAAAAATTAAATTTAAAATAACTCATTATTATTTGAAATTTTTTTAATTTTTATCAAAATTTTTAAAATTTTTGATTATAATCTTATTATTTTTTAGTTAATAATTTTTAATTGTTTATTTGCATAAGATAAAATATTTAAATATAATTAATATATTTTTTTAAAAAAATTATTGTTTCTCATATATCTATTTTTATACTAAAATTTAAATTCTATAATTTATATATCATATTTTTAATTTTATATCCTTATTTTAGTTTATTTAACTTATAAAATTACAACTTCTGTTTTTATATTTTATATGAAATTATATGAAATTAATACATTATTTTATAAAAACTTTAACAAGTTTTCATTTAAATATTAAAAAATTAATATATTTAAAAATTTGGAATTTATATATATATAAATTATTTTTATTTTATATATATTTTTAAATTTACTTATTAACTTAACAATTTTAAAATAGAAAAATAAATTTTTTTAAATGTTAAAGCACAAAATATTTATAAAAAGCTATAATTATTAGAAAAAAAAATTGTTTGTGCATAAAAATTAGTTAGATTCAATTTTTTATGGTAAAAATTAAAATTAGATTGTTTCTAAAGAAAATTTAAAACAATAATAGTTATCATTTTATAAAAATAAATTAAAAGAAATGTTTAAAAATAAAATAAATATTAATATTAAAATTAATTCACAAAAATAAAAATTAATTGATTATAAACATAAAAAAAAATTGCTTTTATTAATAAAAATTATATACATTATTTATATGTAAATTTAAAATAATATAAAAATATATACGAAATTAAAAAATATATATATCTATAATAAAAAATAAAAAAAATCATATACGTATAATAATAAAATATATAAAAATAAATTATATTAATTATAAATTAAAAATTTTATTTATTTTAATATAAAAAATAAAATTCATTTATTTTTAGTAATATATATA